AAAATAGTAGGTGTGGCAATCATGTGGGTGGAGGCCCCTAAGTCAATAATTCATGGTGAAAATGAAGATACAAGGAAAGTATGTGTACATGAAGTAGAAAAATGTGGAAGGGAAGTCGGTACCTTTTGAAGTGATGTAGTGCTTCATACTCGACAAAGGTTAATGTCACCTAAAAAGTTGGAGATAGAGCACTAGACTACAATAGAGAAGTTAGTGAAGGAGGTAAGAGAGTCAGTTGGACAGAGTTGAGCTTCTCAAATTATTTTCAACATTTGTCGGGCAAGTGGTTCTACTTGCCACAATAGACACATGGAAGAAATGGATCAGTCGACAAGTGGTGGAGAAGACTATATAACGTCAAAAAGTGCTCGAATCTAGAAGCTCACGTCACATAATTATGTCTATTAAAGACTTGGTGGTCGAGTGAGTTGTGTTGTGATGAAGTGCCGTAGAGTAGCTAATTCGATCAGAGTAAGAGCAACACCTGACTGAAGAACTAGAGGAGAAGGTGCTTGAGACATGAGGAGTCACCCATTGGATCCATAGATTAGGATTAGTGGGAGATGAGATGACGCTGGGAGGGAATGTCCTTAGAGCCATGTGAGGTGCCAAGAGGTGATGCATGGGATGCCAGGAGGTGACACATGGGGAGCTAGGAGGTGATGTATGGGGCACTAGGAGGCGACATGTGGGGCGTTAAGAGGCACTGTGTGGGGTGTTGAGAAGGCAGCACTAGGCACTAGGAGGTGACGCAGACAATTTGTGGGGCATTTGCAGTTAGTGTATGACATCATTAGGCGCACAGGTGTAGCAGCACACTAGGTGGGCATGTAGGATGGCACTAGCCAAGTGCCGGATAGACAGGCAAGTATGCACAGCAGGAGGCGCAGTAGGCATGTAGGGCTATGCAGACCAGGCACTAGTTAAGTGTGTAAGGTGGCACTACAAGAGATTGCACCAGGAGAGGATAGGTGACGATGAGAAAGGAGGCAAAGTAGTGGTGGTGGAAAAACCCTAGGGCACTGATACCATGTTGACAAGAAGAAAAGAAAATCTTAAAATTCATGTATTGAAGAAGAAGAGTGACATGACTGAATTGTTTTATAATAAATCACACAAATTTAAAATTTATAAAACTAAAAAATACTAATTATTAAATATTTAAAAATATTTTTAGACAAATATATCAACTATGATTAAATAAATGTTCTAAAAATAGTAAAAAAAATTGAAGTTGATCAAATAAATGTAATATAATATCAAATAATATTTTATTTTATTAAATAATATAATTTGTTTAAATTTTAAACTAAGAAATAAAAATAAAATATATTTAAAATTCAAAAAAATAGAAATAAGAGTCTAAACTTCAAGATGACATTAGTGCTTGACAAACATGAATCAAGTGAAAAGAGAGTTTTACCTAGTGATTCTTATGTAAGTGATTATAGACGATTTAACTGGTCAAATTAAGATTTGTAAAAGCTAAAAGAATCATAATTGAATGAAGAATAGTTCAAACACTTACATTACACAAATTATCACTAAATGAAGTGAAATTTTCTGACCTCGTAATAATGATCGTCAGAATTCTGTGTATTCAGGAGGATCATTAAATGATGTCCAGGACTTTAAAGGCTCTCCTTGGACATGGACGACTTGAGTATTTGCTGAATCTTCTTTCAAAGACTAAAAAATGATGGTGAAAGTTAAAATAATTAAAAATAATAAAATAGAGTTTCAACGTTGCGACGGTGATACATCAGTGATATGTCAGAATCCTAAGTGTTTGGGAGGATTGTTCTATAGTATTCACAACCTCAAAGGCTTTCTTTAGAGAAGGACGAAGTGGACAATCTCTAAATCTTCTTGAGAAGTTTAAAGATCAATAAAATAAATCGTCGAATCGTCTCTAACAGCTATCACCTAGCGAAATAGAAAAATAATAATTTTATGACTCTCTAACAGCTGTCACCCCACAAAGATGAACTAAATGGAGGTGAGGCACATCTTAAGGAGCTTCATCCTCAAGTCTACATAGCAAAAGGAGCTCTTCATTAGGTGACGACTTATCTCTTGATAGGTCGTCCTCTTCTTAATGAAAACTTGTTCATCGATTAATCAAAGATGGTTTACTTGATAGACGTGATCCTTTTATCGTGAATCATTTAACAATTTTAGTAATGATATTTTGAAAATCACATTGATGAGATTTTCACCAATAATTGAATGATTCTTAAGATGATTTGTAAAAAAATCATGTTGGCTTAACCCTTCACCAATGATTTGTAGAAAAATCATGATTTAATCAAATTAAAAATATAAGTTTTAGCTCTAGTAGGATTTGAACCCGCACCAATCATCCACCTACATGAGAGAGAAGAAAATAAATTCTTGAATAACCTTATATAGTGATGTCATCATGGTATCTCATTTTTATAAATAAGGGATATTTTCAGTAATAAAATCATCAAAAATATTCAAGGATAGATGTGACGCGTGTATAATCTCACATCCTTTATATATCAAATTCTAAGAGGAATTTATAGTAATACAAGATTTGGAAATTAATGAGTCTCTTTGTTGCGTGTGTACAACTACTTCTTGCCCCACGCCTAGTTGACCACTAGTGATATGAAAGGGGAGTGATGCACACGTGCCCCTAATCAGTCACCCTTAGCTACTCAAGCCCTTACTCACAGCTTTGCCCAACTGCACTCTTGATTTACTTAGGGGCCTGATTGACTAATAGGTCCTTCTCTTTTTTTTTTAATTTTCTTTTCTTCATTTATTTCAAAAATAGAATTGTAAAAATTATATATATTCACTTAAATTCACATAATTAGCTAAAAATTAATTAACTAATTAAAAATAATTTCACAATTTAACATAAATAGAAATCTATTTATCATGAGTTAAGCTTAAAACTATATTATTTATTAATTATTAACTCATGATAATGAAGACTTATCAAGAGTATATGAGGTTATATATAAGAGAGGAAGAAAGAGAGAGAGAGAGAAAGAAAGAAGTAGAGATCGTAGAGAAAGAATCGACACATAGAGAGAATAAGTTCAAAATGGCCTGATGGGCCTAGTGGGCTATTTTAATATTGTTAAACCTAAAAAAAGATAAATAAAAAAATATATAATATTTTAATAATTTTTTTTTACAATTACATATGAAATCTGTATATTTGTCAAAAGAATAAGATAGAAACACTATCCTAGCAAACCTTCTCTAACTACTTGTAAGTTTAGAGAAAATTTGAGATAACATAACAATAGCTTTTATTCAAAGCTTGCTGAATTCTGATAGATTTAATGTCATACTAGTGGTGGTTGACTAATTAAGTAAATATGCCAATTTATTCTCACTTAAACACCCTTTTATAACTACAGACATCAAGAAGATTTTCTTTAACATATCATTCATGTGCATGAATTTTCAATCTCCATCCGCATAGATTGAGATCTCCACTTTATAAGCCAATTCTAGAATGAATTCTTCAGGTTGTAGATAATGTTTCTATGTCATAGTAGCGGCTATCATCTCCAAACAAACAGCACACAAAGATCATGAGTTGAGGATTTTAGATCTACTTCTAGTGCTTTGCCAATGATCATCTCCAGCAAAGAGCAAGTGAATTATTTGGGATGAATTCTAATACAACACCAACTATCATTTGTTGGTTAAAATTTCTCCTTTCAAGGTTGTATAAGAGTGGGATCCTCTGGTTCTAACCTAATACAAAATGAAAAAAACACATGATTGTGGAGAATTGATATATTGATGCAATTCCTCCAAAGTGTGGACCAAGTAGTCTAACTGTTGGGCAACAACCACATTTTATTCCACTAAAATACTAATGTCACACTTGAGGTTAGGGATATTTAGACAAACTTTGTCCAACTCCATCTTCATTTATTCCACCTTGTCTCTAGGCTTGGACAAGAGGATTGCTCTAATACAAAGATGACAAGACTCCTAGAGAACTCACAGAAAAATAGCTTTGAAGATCAGAGAAGAGAGTATGTAATTAGTACCAAATGACAAAAGAGATGATTCTACAATTGGAGGAAAACTAGTAGAAGAACATGTTGTTGTTTCGTGGGAGAAAGAGGCAAAGTGAAATGGGGATGAAACAAGGGGAAATAGGGGGTTACTTTGAAATGACCAATCTCTAGTGTTTTGATGAGAACCTGCAAGACACATCCCTTTGTTCCTCCCTTGTCCGTTGTGGTTCGAGCCTCTTGGGGATGATTGGTAGATACGAGGGTCGCATTAGTATGCACGCTATTTTTTTGTAGTTTTACCATGCGAGAGAGAGAGAGAGAGAGAGAGAGAGAGAGAGAGAGAGAGAGAGAGAGAGAGAGTAGGAGCTGTTATCTTTCTTCCAAGAATCGTTGATGCCGATCATAGAATTTCCCTGTTGGGCCGTAAACCGGGCCTACAAGGCCCGTCAACATCCACACCCGTAAACGGCAGCTCGTCCACCACATCTTCTCCGGGCTTGGGTGAGCTGAGGCGTATTACAACGGTCAACAGGAAAACAAGAGGTCCGTTTATTTTCTCTCGGCGGCGGCGGCGGCGGCGGCGGCACAGAAGAGAACGAATGGGCGGCGTTGCGCGGAAAATGTCGTGGCCGCGAGGTGCTGGCGGCTTTCCGCCACACGTCGGTCCCGGCATATTCCCCGGCTCCCAGGGCTTTGCGGTGGGGCCAGTTAAGAACACTCATCGGACGGCCTGCTCGCATCGAGAACGGGGGGTCAAGAGCGTGGGAGCCGTTTGATTATATACAGCTGGCGGCTGGCGAAGGCGATGAGCAATTGCATATACCCAATGGGAGGTCGCCACGGAAAAGTCCAGGTTCAATGAATCTGGTTAGGCCCCTCCCCTTTTTTATTCTCCCCAACACGGTTGGCTCCCAGGAGAAGAAGCAGAAGAAGAAGAGAAGCAGAGATAGAAGGGGGAGGAGGTGCTTGTGCGTGGTAGGAGAGATGTCTTCTGCGGCGGCAGCAGCTATGTCGGGATCCCTCTCTTCCCAGGCGCTCATCCCCCGCGAGTTCGCAGGTCGGTGTTATGCTGTTCTTCCTTCGATTTTGCTTTTTATGTTTTTTGTTCTTTTTCCTATTGTATTGGTGGTTTTGTTGCGGTTCTAGATCGGTGTTTCAATTTGTGCCAGCAGGAGGGTTGCAGATCGGCTCCATAAGGCCGAGGGAGCTTCTGAGCCGCGCGTCGGTCGCGAGGAGGACGCCACTGCGGCCTCTGTGCGTGTTTGATCCGGCGAGGAAGAGCCATTCGTCGCCGGTGCCTCCGGTTGCCGTCTCGGCGGCCTCTTCCGAAGCCGCATCTCTCGTCTCGGTCGTGGAAACGAGCGTCGTGGAGGAGGTGGATTTTGAGAAGCTGGCGGGCGAACTGGAAGGCGCATCGCCGCTGGAGATTATGGACAAGGCTTTGGAGATCTTCGGCAACGACATCGCCATTGCCTTCAGGTGAGCAAATCGGAAATCTCGTTCGCTCGTTCAGTTCAGTTAAATCAGCTGATCCTCTTATCCTTATATTCCAATCATCGATCTTATACGGTCGTGCGCCATGAGAATTTGAGAGTCGATAATCTTGGCGGTTGCGTCGATTTTTTTAATTAATTAGCTTTTCGCTATCCAGCGGTTTTCTCCTCATTTTTACATACTGCTGTTGTGACGACCGCTTGTCCGCTCATTCAAGAGATAATAATTAGGTATTTCTCCTCTGCAGCGGTGCAGAGGATGTGGCCCTAATCGAGTACGCGCGGCTGACCGGACGCCCATTCAGGGTCTTCAGTCTCGACACCGGAAGGCTCAACCCGGAGACTTACCGATTCTTCGATGAGGTGGAGAAGCGTTACAATATCCGCATAGAGTACATGTTCCCCGACGCGGTGGAGGTTCAAGCTCTTGTGAGAAGCAAGGGCTTGTTCTCCTTCTACGAGGACGGGCACCAAGAGTGCTGCAGGGTGAGGAAAGTGAGGCCCCTGAGGAGGGCTCTCAGAGGTCTCAGGGCCTGGATCACTGGCCAGCGCAAGGATCAGTCGCCTGGCACCCGAGCCAGCGTTCCCGTGGTTCAGGTATGCATGTCTTCCCAGGAGCTTATCCCACCTGTGACCTGAAAGTTAGCAGCTGATATAATGGGACTAACCTCTTTGGACTCGTAGGTGGATCCATCATTCGAGGGGATGGAAGGCGGCGCCGGCAGCTTGGTCAAGTGGAACCCTGTGGCGAATGTCGATGGCCGAGACATCTGGAATTTCCTTCGGACCATGGCCGTCCCAGTGAACTCCCTCCATTCTCAAGTAATCCTCATTTCACCTACACCAACTCTATACTGCGCCTGTGATCGCCCTACTTGCTGGTACTCATCGCCGCTGCTCTTCCGCTTCAGGGATACGTTTCCATTGGCTGCGAGCCCTGCACCCGGCCAGTCTTGCCGGGGCAGCACGAGAGGGAGGGCAGGTGGTGGTGGGAGGACGCCAAGGCGAAGGAGTGCGGCCTCCACAAGGGGAACATCAAGCAAGACGAGGCGCTCCAATCCAGCAATGGCAATGGAACTGCCGCCGCGCCGGCGGATGCCCCAGTGGACATCTTCAATACACAGGCTGTCGTCCCTCTGAGCAGGCCCGGGATCGAGAACTTGGTCCGGCTAGAGAACAGGAAGGAACCGTGGCTGGTCGTGCTCTACGCTCCCTGGTGCCGTTTCTGCCAGGTGAAGATCTGGACCTGTTTCAGCAGCTTGTGCTCCCATTGTTTGTTTGTTGTCTTCCTTCCTGAACCAGTATCATCACTGTCCGCGTGCAGGGGATGGAGGAGTCCTTCACGGAGTTAGCCGAGAAGCTTCAGGGTTCTGGAATTAAGGTCGCCAAGTTCCGAGCAGACGGCGACGAGAGGCCCTTCGCAGAGGAGCTCGGCCTAGTTAGCTTCCCCACGATCCTCTTCTTCCCCAAGCACACGTCCAAGCCCATCAAGTACCCATCGGAGCAGAGAGACGTGGACTCGCTTCTTGCCTTCGTCAACGCCCTTCGCTAAACCCAACCCTTCTTCGTCGTCGATCCCACCAATGGCAGCTGCAAGATACACAGATGAGGGAAACACAGACCGACGCCCATGATTTTTGAGGCGGCCCCCTCCATGTCCATTGGTTTCGCCCGGCCTGTCATTTCGAAGCGGAGAGGAGGGCGCTGGGTCCGGTGGTCTGCTTCCCTCCGCCCGCTGTGGTCCTTTCTATCGTTTCCCCCCTTCGATCTCTACTGGGTGCGTAGAGGAGTCTTGCCTTCCCTCCTCCAGAGGATTTTGGCTTAGGATATGATTTGCAGATACCTCATGTAACTTAGAAATCCCTCCTTTCTTAGGATGGTGTTTTGAGGAAGAAAAGTGTTAGCGTGCTGAAAATATTCAGACAAGATTTCCTTGGATTGGCTTCTATCTGAAGGGGGAGGATGGGAGGATTTCCCATTAGCCAGCTCGCAGAGAAGAGGTTCATCGTAGCTACGACAGTCGAAGATAATCCTCCCAAGTTGCAGGTTGTGGGGATCTCCAGGGACACAAGCAACACGTACTACGCTGCCATTCTACTATTAGGAAGACTCAGAGACATGCCTAGGTTCATGAAAAAATATCACGTTGACATCGGAAGGACGTATAATATTGTAGATGGTCAACGTCGTAGGTTGGCACATAAAAATAATATGCATCACTTACATCGTAGAAAACCAAAGAGCAGATGGAATTCATACAATCTCATTGTGCATGATAGCCAGTCGTCTGGGGACAAGTGGAAACCTGGAAATGTGCTTATGAGAGAGACGATGAATTGGATTCTTCTCTTCTTCGATTGGGATGATAGACGGGTGAAGAAAGACACAACGAAGGCATTGACTCAATTAACGGGCGGCTATTGCCTTACATGTTAAGTGGCTGATGATTTCGGTTTCAGAATAATGACTGATGCTTGGTGAATCACCTCTTTTACATTTTGATTATTAAATGTGATTATTTATCATGTTCTTCTATTGATATTTTGAATATTAAATATTATTATTTTGCATTCCCGCAGTCACTTATGATCATGACAAAGGTACTGTAAACAAATAGAAACCATTCAAATCCAGATTGTTGAATGATTCATTTACCACCCTTCCGTAGAAGCGAAGATTACCTTTTCCTTTTGCTCAATTTGAATTATTTCTTAGATACTTTATTTTCACTCAATATAAATTTTAAACACTTTTTTTCCCCATAAACTTATTATTCTATGACAAATAAAAGGTATTCTTAAGATTTGTATTCTTTTAATAAATCCTCAAAAAAGTCTAGTAACGATAAAATGATTTCAAGTTGGTCCATCCAATAAACACTTTCATTGGTGAGCAGATTAAGTGGGATTTTGTTAGTGATTCACTCTTACTTTATTATTGACTTGTCACCACTATTGGCTAAGTTTAATTGGACTTTTTCGAACATAGATTTATTTTTTAAAATAAAATAGTTAAGAACATGAAGATTATATTGTACATTACTTTAAGGACCCATTTATATTATTTTTTAAGAAAATATCATATTAACTTTATGTGTTTATTACATGTATTTCTTACATATGCTGAGCAATTTATGTGAATTTAATGTCACATTAATGAAATTTTGAAACAAAAAATTCTATTGATTCCCTCTTTCAAAACTCTACACTTCTCTCCTACTTTTAGTTTCTTTTATTGATGTAACTAAAGCTAATGATTGTGAATATTTTATAAATTCATGAAGTGGAGTAAACTTTTCTTTAGATCAGATGATTTCAAAAATTAATACTCTTCTCATCAAGGGCTGAGAGTAGGCAAGGTGAGATATGGGAAAAGGGATTGACTTAGGCTTTGGGTATGTTGTGGTGTAGGGTAAAAAAAATTCTAACATGAGGTATTGAATCATATTCCACACCATACATTTTCTTTTAGTGGAAATACTTGAGGATGAGAAGAAGGTGTCAAGAGGGAGTGGTGAAGTCCAAGTTTGAGTGAGGCAAATATCCTCCTTCCTTGTACAAGAGTGACAAGTAAGAATGGGGGGGGGGGTAGTGAATTGGGTTTCTATTAGGTTAAGATCTAAGTTCCTGTTTCGTTAGGCCTACTTTTAAAGATATTCCACTCTTCAAGGGGCACACCCTTAGCTTCCATAAACTCATGCAAGTATGAACTTTGAACAAAAGGGTTATCTAGTTGAGATCTTAATGTTGCTCAAAGCACCAAAAACTCTAGTGTGTTTTTGCTACTTGCACATCTTCTAATAAAGGAAATCAATCACAATAAGTATAAGAAAATATATTACAACATCTATTTGTTCTTAACCTATTCTTTGGATCTCTAGATCTGAAAAATCTAATATACACTTGCTAAAGCCTTTATGGTTAGTGACGACTTTCTGAGGCCAAAATGTTCAATAGATAGGCTAAGTAAGAACTTTGTGCTTCAAAAGTAGATTTGCTATGGCCTTTATGTCCAATAGATAGGCTTGCTACGTCCATTTTGTTCAATTGATAGCTTTTTGTTAATGCCTTTGTTTTTAGTGGAGGCCTTCTAAGGTGGTTAAGGCCTTTATGTTCATTGTATTTCACCAGATATTTATTGGAACTTAAGGACACTATCCTTAGCAGAGTATGCTAGGTAGATAGTTCCACTAAATTATGGGTGTTTAAATCAAAAGAATAATGTGTGAAAGAAAAACCATAAAAACTAATTCACCCCCTGCTTAGTTCCTAGTGCAACCTCCTTAAGATCATCACCATTCATGTGACCAATAATGACTTGTATATTAGTTCCTTCTGCGACGTGTCTTGGCATCTTAGGTCGACATGAAAACTCTCTATTTCCTTCTCTAAATTTCTCATTTTCTTTCACTTGAACCCTAATAAGAGTTGAAGTGCCTCTTTTATTTGAAGCATATTGGGCTGTCCAATGGTTATTGCAATAGCTAGACAAAATACATTTTGTGTCACCTTCACAACTCAAATTCAAGCTCCATGTGCTTGGTAATATTGTAAAAATTATAAAAATTATATAAATATATGTTTTATACACTATTTGTTGCATTGTGTTCCTCATTTAATTATCTTTCCAAATACTAGATATATGGCTATACTAGTGAGACCAACATTCATCTAAAAATATTTTAATCATCTAAAGTATTAATATATACCATTTTTCCTTTGAAAGAAAATTTCATGATTTTTCATAACATATTATCTTTTGTCATCATCAAAAGAATTAAGGGTCCCATCAATAGCAATTCTTTCCAAAATTTTTATGGATTTATGATGATATTATTTTGAATTACATCAGTCAAATAATATAAAAATAACTTTTCAAAAATTAGATCATCCAATTTACATCGTGTCTTTTAAAAAAGACAAATTGATATTTGGCTTTATTAGCATAAAATTTTGAAGGTGTTGAGAGGGATTTATGCCTAATGACTTGGTTAACGTAACTCATGTGAAAAGGTTATTTTTTCAGATGAAATATTCACACTCATAATTTATTTAGTGCAAAGCTACTAATTTCAAAAAAATATTTTTTTCCATTCATCTATGTTGTCATTAGCATTGTCAAACTTGTTGCAAATTAGAACACTATAATTTCAATGCATTGTTTGTTCATCTCCCAAATATATTTCCAACAAGTGTATAGATGAGTACACCTCTGAGATAAACTTGTGTCTATAAGCTATTTGACTATTTAGAGATAGATATAGACCATTTTACATTGGAGTGTAACTTCTTTGGTTTGATATCTGATTTCATCTATTGTGACTTATACATAGTAGCACTGTCATATACATGGTGTAAATATATGAGGATCTGGAATATTTACAAGACATGAGAACCACCTTAGGTGGAAGAATCATGGATTATCTAATGAATCATGAGTTGCCTAAGGAGTACTCCCTTGAGTATCTTTGGCATTCCTTATTTCATCATCAAAAGTTTTAAGCCTCCAATAGACAATGTGATGTATTTAAAATATATAGTTATATGCCGCAGGAAGGAGGGCGGCCCCACCCTGAAACAAAGGTGTACGTAGTTTTGACTTGACACTGAATGGAGCTCTTTGAGATGTTCAGGGGCGTCGTCAACTCATCCTTGTCCAGTAACCCCGACTCACATGGATCAACATTATTTATCAGCGATTACTAACTAAAGATTTATCTCAAAGGTTTTTAAAAAGTATTGATGAATTTATTCAAAAGAATAAATAAATTTTAAACACTAATATGTTGTATGTTTCCTTGTTAGTTTGGTTACATTTTGGGAATAATTTGAGGGAGTCTAATATTGGGTAATTTCGTTTTTATCTGATAATGTTTCAATATGACATAATATAGATTTAATGTGACATGACTCCATGATATGTATTTTAGTGAGTCTATGTTGAAATGTTAAACATATTCCCTCTAATTTGAATGACTTTGAGCATTTAGATGGTATTTCACAGTTTTTGGAGATGATTATCTAGAAGTAATAATTTATGATTATAGTTTAGGTTTTCATCATTTTGTAATTGAAGCATTCAATAGAGTTAAGTAGCATTATAGTATGTAATACGAAATCACACTTTCTTTATAGTCTGATAGTAGAAGGAATTTGATACAAGAACCATATAGATGTTCTAGGACCCCTATTAACATTATTTAGTGGTTGTTCTATAGAGGCAAGTTTATCACTCGACATCCATGGTTGGTTTTCATTACAAATCATCTTAAATTGGTTGATAAACTTAGTTAAATTGAAGGCCAATATATGTACCCAATGAAATCATTTTGTGTAATAGTTAAATTTTGTAAAGAGGATCAAAGTTCAAGAAATACATGAAGGAGCCACAAGGTAGACCAATTGAATATGAGGAGACTCTTTGATGATATTAGGTGATTATTTTTCTAAATCCATTTTCCTAGGTTTATACATGGATATAATGCACCACTCTATGAAATGGGAGACAAAAAAATAGTAATTAAGATGGCATGAAGATACCAAATTTGACTCC